GACGAAATCACGGTTGATGAAGAGTCTCTGACGGGAGTGAAACTTTTCACACACACAGCCAGCATTATGGATGAAAAAAGGTCATCTCATGCAGGCGTAGAGGTGAAGATTTGTAAAGTAAGAACATCATTCCTTTAGTTTAAGAACACATGGTACTCAAAAGAACAATGAAATAATGTCTAAGTCAAAATCTTCAATGTGATCTTCAACTCTGTTAGTTCTACAGTACGGAGCTGAAATTTGAGGAACTGCCAGAAAACTCATCAACATTGTGAGTGTGTTTATAAATTGTTGTCTACTCAAATTACTCACTGTCCGTTGACCGGATACCATAAGCAACAAACTAATGTGGGAGGGAACAAACCAACAATCTGCACAAGGGGAAATAAGGATCACGAAGCAATCGCATTCTTTGGAATCTCGAGGGAAAAGACAAGTATGGAAAACCAAGGAGCAAAATGAGTTAGTAGTCGGAAGCATACATGAAAAGAGCGAAAAGCAACTGGGAAGATTGTAAAGTGATTATCAAGGACAGAGTATGTTGGAGAATACTGAAAAGCGGCCGATGCTCCTCCATGATGTGTAACGGGCGCAAGTAAGTTGTCAAACTGGAAGTTTGTTTAATTACGATTGAGGGTGATTAATCAGTGTGAAGATATTTCACTGTTGTTTCAACGTCCATTTCACATGAAAAGTCACTTTTATTACATAATATTTATCCATACTCATGAACTGTATGCCAGTTTTCTAATGTCTGCATGCATGAAACTTTATTAGAAATATTTTGGCTTCGAATCTTAATGTATGGGAATGGTCAATCTGTTGCTGGTGTTAAGTTGTCAACGGAATAGAGAAGAATTTCTGATTGTCTCTTTCGTTTTCGACTGTCGGATATGTATCTGGATTGCAACCGCTCTTTCGCATTGCTGGTCAAATACTACAGGTGAAGAATTACACACAATCAGTTGATGTATTGATGAACAATCAAGAGATAAATGTACTTAACAATATTTGATTTCATCTCGTCTCATCTTATATCTTATTGAGGGTGTTATATTACTTACAAATACTCAGTAGTTAAATTTATATTCGAAGAGGTTTATTTAGTTTGGCATGATGGTCGGTATTTATGTGGCTTAAAATTCACTTCGACGAATAAGAGGAAGATATGTAAGACGAATGGGTGACGTTATTAACACGGAGTAGTGTGTGGTGGATGGTTCCTTATGCATGAACACGAAGTATAGATGGGAATTGTTTATGACTCTTATGTTTGGTCAGCAAATACAGTTCATTTCTATATATCATTTACTTTTTGACTGACTAGAATGCCGAACTATGATTAGCATTCTGATCTGTTTTGTAATCACGCTGTCGGTATATCAGCACTGTCATACATCATAGTGTCTGTTTCTTGATATCGATACATGTTGACAATCGTCAACAGACAATCTACAGGGATGACATTGATGTACTGTGCATTGATTCAGACTGAATCCTGAGTTTCAAAATATATTTTTGAACTAAATTCTCTGATCTCACTTGAGTTATATTCCGTAGTAATTGTTACTTTGCGATTAGTTATATTGAGCGATGGAATTCGTTACTGGGTGTGACTGAAGATGTCGATAACACTATATTTTCATCGTTTGTACTCATTACGCAGAATGTGCTATTTAAATGGAATATTCTCATTTTTCTCTATTCTTAATTTCCTACCCAGCTGGAAGCCGGTTTGTTCTCCCCCAGAGTAGGCTGTTGCTGACTGTTTCCTATTAAAGGAAACATGGTATCTTGAGTTGAAATTGTTTGTAAATAACCGCGTATTTTTGTTGACGGTTGTGGTAATTCTCCAAGTTCCAGCTCCTCGAAACGGAACTTTCTGGGAGTTCGCACTGAACACTCTGAGTTCATTATTCGCTGACAAACATTTGTTTTGAATTTCGTATGTTAATCAACTGCCTTAATGTTGTCCTTGCATTGCAAATCCTCGGCTTAACGTCAGTATCAGATTTTCCATGTTCGTCGATCATGTTATTCAGTTGGATGAAACGTCCCGTCTTTTTCCAGAGTTTTTCAATCAATTGTTATTGTGTTGAACTTCTGTGTGGTGAACTTCATGTTCGCGCATTCTCCTTTCTGTATGTTAGGGCTTACTGATGTGTCCAGAGGCTGCTGCTTCACTAGTTGTCTTTATCTGTATTTCTTGGTGAGTATGGCATAGAAGGGAGAGGTCGTCTACCAAGTACAAATCTTCCGAATAATTCCTAGTTGTACATTTTACTTCGTGCTTTCCCTCAGATGTCGAGATCTTCATAATACAGCCAGCCACCAGAAGGAAGAAGAAGGGTAGTGTGACTAGCTTTCTCTGTCTCCAGTCCTCAATTGAAATGTATCTGTGAGCTGTCCTTCATGCACCACTATGCAATGTAGCCCGTCGTATGAATTCCGTATGATGTTCATGATCTGCTCAGCCACTCACTACATAATGTCGAGTAAGGTCCCATCAAGTTGTTTTACGCCATCAAACGCTTTCGCTTGCGAGGTAAGTTGATGTGTAGTGACGAGTTTCATGTAACTGGTTGTTTAACGATGATCCGTAATGTTGCGACTTGGTTTATACGTCACCGACCAATGTGGATTTCGGTCTCTTAAACTCAATTTTGGGAGTCGACTGAATCATTCGTACGGTTCAACAATACTCTGTTGAATATGTTTCCTGGTACTGACAGTAAAGTGGTGCCAAGCTAGTTCTCACATTTTCACAGATCATTCTTCTGCAAAATGGAATTCGGTCCCTTAACCTCAATGTTGTGTGTCGACTGGATATTGCACTTTTTATAAAGCTGCTTATAATCTCTATAGAATCAGGTACTTACTCTTACTATCGGAAAACAGCGTAAATCATATCACGTTACAAATCTGGAGATAAGACTGACACAAACAATTATCGGCCCATAAATTTTACAGCCGTCGTATCGAGGATTATAGAAAAAATTGCTAGTTCTGAACTCCCCGACTGTTTACTCACTGGAAGATTTATTATTGATTCCCAACGTTGATTTCTAAAAAATAAATATTGTGTGACATATTACTTTGGCTTCATTAGTTTAGTCTATTCTCTGCATAATCAAGGAGTTCTAGTCTTAGTGCTATACCTGGACGTACCCAAAGCCTTTGATATTGTTAACCACCAACTTCTTGTGGATAAACTCACATCCTACTGAGTCCAACACCCTCTACTTGCTTGGTTTGATTCCTTCCTCGATAACCGTCATAAAGTTGTTAAAATTAACTATTCATTGTCGAACGCTGTCCCTATTAGAAGTGGTGTGGTACAAGGTTGTGTCTTAGGTCCTTTTCTTTTTTCAGTTTTCCCAAATGATGTTTGTGAATGCTTCTGCATGGGTGAGCCTTTTCTGTATGCGGATGATCTTTAAGTAGCTTATTCGTTCTGTCCTCATGAGCCAAACAATATGCTAAATTGCATCATCATGAAGCTTAACAAGTTGCTCGAAATGGCGACTGGGGCTTATAACAACTAAAATATGTATGAATATGTTTCGGTAATGCATCATTCAACTTCGATCTGACCACAAATGTTGTGGTGTTATCTCAGTTACATAGAGTATTAGACTGGTGACTTAGGTACTCCTATGATTCGTCGTTTACAGAACAGGTATTGAAACACAAGTCCAAGTTTCAACGTCTAATAGGTTGCACACCTCGGAACCGTTGTAACAATGAGTCACGTATTTCAATGTGCAAAGTTTGTGTTCCACCACTCCTAGAATACTCCACGTATATTCCAAGGAATGTGTCCCCCAAGAAAAAATTAAGGTTGGAATCAGTACAGAGATGATTTAAAATTTGGATTTTTGGAAATGACTGTACCCTGACATATAACTCGGAATGTGATAAATTCGCACTCGACACTTGATGGAATAGGAGACTCAAACTAAATCTCATCGTTTTCTTGAAAATGCTTGACAACCTATACATTATATTTGATCAAGTAAGTCAATTTGTAGAAACGTTTAATTTCGACATCCGTAACTCCTTGCCACTTGTGAAACAAACCCATTCCAAATCGTCCATCTTTATGAATTACTTTACCTGTACATTTACTAGACTGTGGAATGATCTACCACAATCTATCCGTAAGATAGAATCCTCTGTTCTCTTTATTGATACACACTGCTCCTCTGAAAATACATTAAATGTTCTAGTATGTGTAAGTGTATTTTATTGCACAAGTGAGAATGTAGAAACCTTAAATGTTCAGCCATTCCTGCTACTAAATTCACTAGGTGAGATGACTTAGCTGTTGTTATTTTACGTTAACTTCGTCCCTGGCCACCCTAACTAGTTTGAATAATATCTAAGATGAACAGCATATCACTGAGTCACATGGCAAGTGCAATATGGTTGACCTGATTGATATATTTTGGTAATTCTTGTTTTGCTGTTCCATGCTCTCTGTTTCTGTTTTAGTTTCTCTAGTTGCAGATGATTATAATAAATTTGTTGTTGCACAGAAAATGACCTTCAGTGCACCATTCATTAATCAACAGAACGGGCACTTAGAAAGAATGAAAAGTTGCCGACCGATGCGGTGCATTTCTGAACTACATCTTACAAGTGTACTACCTAAACAATTTTTGAACTAGTAAACTTAAAAGAATCTTAAATCACATGTTTATTCTCTACATTTTATGTTACAATTTATATCAGGTCGAGGATGATTTTAAAATGGCGTGAATTCTGTAAATATAAATTTCAGATTATATGCATAATCATCTTATATACCTTGACTTGGGGAACTGAAATAGTGAACTTCGCAACAATCGAAAAGGTAGGAAAGGTGAATGTGTTACTCAAAAGGAAATTGTGTGTTCAATGAAAGCAAGTTGATTATTAACTCGTTCACCGCAGTTTTTCAAAATGTTTGTACACTTTTGAATACATCCATGAGGAGAGATTTGTAATGCGCTTGTCTGTCATTGGTGTGAGATGTGAACAGAATTAAAAGCAAGGGTAGTTGTATATGTGATCCGTGCTTGAAAAGTCGTTACCCTTTCCCTTCTTTCACGCAAGGTAGTAGACGTAGTAGTAGTAGTAGTAGTAGTAGTAGTAGTAGTAGTAGTAGTTGTAGTTGTAGTTGTAGTAGTAGTAATAGTAGTAGTAGTAGTAATAGTAGTAGTAGTAGTAGTAGTAGTAGTAGTATCAGTTGCAATATATTTTATACAAATCTGAAGTGATATATTTATTTGCAAACATCTCATTACCATCACCAACAAACTCTCAACTGATAAACTACCGATTCATCCTCTCCTTCTCCCACTTACACATACATCAAAACAGAACAGTACAACTCAATCGGCATACTGCACAGTCGAGCAAACAGAAAGTCAACCAGCGCATCTAATGATAATCAAGTTTTATAAAGCACCTACAGGCAAAAGCACATTTCGGACGAACGAATCTGGATTGTGAGTAGTGAAAATTGAACTTGCGATATCAATAATGCAATCACCGGTAATCTGAAGTTGTTGACACAGCTTTCTTTAAATTGTTTATGTTATTTCGAAAGTTAAGCAAATAAAGTTGACCGTTCGAAAGTACAAATATCGTAGTAATGAAACAGTAAGCAACTAAAACATTCATATTTAATTTGGTTTATATAAACTATAATGTCATACGAGTTAAATTGTATAATTACCACAGAGTCCGAAAGGCTACAATAAGCATGGCTATACTCTCTTTATCGACTGGCTTTTTGTTTGGGATATTTTAAATGTAACAGATAGCAAGTGGATCAACAATTATTTTATGGTCACTACCATAAAAATCTTTGCATGCTTGTAATGATGATGAATTGATGTTTCTGCAGAATACAAGATGAAGAACATTCCCATGCCTAGTTTGAGAGTGAATACACAGTGACCAACAGGACATATTGATCGTTGCTGAAAAAGCATCATCACCTGAATGACCACAACTGGTAATCCAGGGTGTACCGCCTGTTGCCGATCGACTCATCAACTCCGCGTTACACTCACAACAATAGCGCTCAGAATTCTGAGTGTCTGATTTTCGAGGCATTTCGTTCGAACTGTAACAGTTAACATGCTAATTAATATGGATTCATTTTACAGCGTGGCGAACAATCCATTGGATCATTACATTTTGATCAGTCATGCTGCAACTTACATTCATTCAGCCATGACATATTCTTCACACAAACCTCCAACTGTGGCAATAAAACAACCTAATTTTGATCGTTCATTGCCTATTCTCAGCAATGACCTCCATTCTTTCAAGTCAACATCACCTGATCAGACACATAGAGTAAAATAAGCTGATTGATCTCCAGATGCTGGATATACATAATCATAATGTCACTCTGTTAAAATTGTGCTCTCCATCGTTATCGATAAGAAAACCTAAGACTGTCCCTTCATCGCCCATTCTCATCACCAATCTTCGTACTTCCAAGTGAACATGACCTGATTATACACATCAAGTAGGCTGTGGTGATCGGTCGCCAAAAGCTGGATATACCCACTCGTTACGTCACCCTGTTGGTATTGTGCTCTCCATCGTTATCGAGCGGTGTATATCCTATAAACTACCAATCCACTAACGAATTGTGGCCGTATGTACATTCTGCGTTCAATGAATAAACAAATTATGACCAATCACAAACGTGTGTGTCAACGTGTTATTGTCTGCGTCATTTGGACAGTATGAGTATATAGGCGTCGATGTGATAGTTGATTTTATTTTTTATTGTAGTCGAGGAAGAGAGTCACCAATTTCTTCATCTGACGTGAGAACAATCGGTCTGACAATGAGATATAGCAAGATGCTCATCATGATGCTTATGGTGCACATTGCAATGATCCAGTTCGTTGAGTCAGCTATTGATACCTTCAATGGCGAGAAAAGTAAGTAGACAACTTTATATCAGGCTGCCATAACGGTGAGCTAGTAACTACTGATACATAGCTAAATAACGATTTCTTTCTTATTGCACCTACAGAAACAAAGAAGGAAAATGAAAGAATGGATCCGACAGATTTAAAAGAGGAAAAAGATGGAGCACTTTATGCTAATGGCCCTCAAATAGGTCCCGAAGTTGATGATCATCGTCCAAATCCTGATGACCCTCATCTACGCACTGAACCTCCCAGTGGTGTCGGCATTACTCAACCTCCAGTACCTCACGTTCATCTCCCGAATGCATGAGATATATCCTAAACCTTCTGATGTTGACGGCGAACGTGAAACGAGCGAATGAACATTCTGTTTATTTAAAGTTTACTTCTGGACATCAATATCTTAGTCGATGATGATCTGAAGGAGATTTCTATTCCATTTTATTTTTTTAAAATAATTCGTTTTAAATAATAAGTTAATAACGATATTTTTTATCAAATGTGAACATCTTTTCCTTCATTCGTCGTTGTTCTGGATGAGTCAATAATTGATGGCTTAATGATTAGGTTTGATTAAAAATGATGCATAGGTTGACCGTTCCGTCGCAGAAAACATCTAGACTCAACAAGCGTACATCCTCAATTTTATTTATACACAGCACATCATCGTCTGAATTATCGATTACGATTGACCGATTACAGGAAGTGTTAGGGCGATGTAAGCATCATTCACTGCAGTAGTGAGCGAGCTGAGCAGTGTATGACTCTCACATATTGAGTTAGACCTAATGTTCTTCGGGAATGATACTTACAGTATTGACGCTAAGAACGAGTAGAAATCCCCTCCGACGTTGAAGAAACAAATGTTCATTTGCGTACGGTTTTCGTGTCAACGAGTTCCACTAGCAGAAAATAGCGATTATCGAAGTGTCTCGAATCCTTAAACACGTGTGCCAAGATACCTGATTGTGACTGATAAGATGCATAAAGTTGGGTTGAATGATAACGCACATTGCAGTGTAAACTAATAAACCATGATGCCATTTTTACTGAAGAGTAGCCATTTTGAAAAATATGACTGGAGAAGTTCGTAAGCATATCCACATGACCACGAGGCATTGTTGCTTTCATGAAAATGTGTGAAGATGAAGGCTAGAATTACTCCGTTCAAATCTGTTCGAGGTGTTGGTTATCCTTGACAATGCACCCTTACACCACTAATCATTCAAATTTTTCTTGGACCGAATCAGTCTGATATGCCAGTCACTCCATTCTTTGCGAAGACACTTAATCAGGGTCATTACAGGTGTAAGAGGCGAGTAAGCAAGTTAGTGAACTTGAAGAAAACAATGATTGAAAAAAGTAATTCTGATGACCTAAATACGGTTATTAATCTCTCGAGCGGAACTTTAAATTAACACAAAATCAATCTACTTGAGAGTAATCTGAATTTTAATTTACACACCAAATCAATTGACACTGTGGAAATCTCCCTGATTTTCTAACTTCGACTATAGGAATTACAAGGAAAACGGTTTCATCCAATCCGTTGAAATACTGCTTACGAAGTCTTTTACGATTATCATAATCAGTAGACCTGCAGCACAAATAATATATTTCTGAGTTCGTACTACAACTAAAAGTCCACATTTTCTTTAACAGACTTCAATGAAGCAAACCGATTCGTGTTCAACTAATAAATGTACACATATCACATATCTTCATGACTAACCAATCAGATCGCTGTTTAAGCTCCCATCACGTTAATCTGGTCTGGTATATCATTTAACTATCCTTGTTGCAAGTGGCTCATCAATTAAAATTCATTATTGTTCTATTATATTAGTGTGAATCATAATTTTCATCCATTTCGATAAGGCACGCAATACTGGTCGGCATTTTCGTGCGTTTCGCTAATGACTGGAATTCCTTTATTTATTGTTCTAATCTAATTGTTCTTACGTTTAGAAACAGATAACTGATGACAGATAGCTTTTACATAGACCCTGGGATGGGCATTATCGCGTTTACAGTTCTAGTAGTATATCTGCAGAAAATATCTGACTACGTTGATTGTGAAAGATACTTGGTTGTATGAAACGTGATTCATACACGATGTTCCTGTTGACTAAAATTTCATTTCTTTCACAGATAAACTCGTAAATGTGGATCGATATTCTCCTTAGACGATCTCACCTGGATTGCATTCATCGAAAAACTATCCATCTGATTTTGACTGTGAACATATGTGCTGGTTATGAAGAGCAGTGAAATGGGACAGGATGGGTTGTCTAGTAATCTGATTTTTCGAGGGTATGCACGACTAGTGAAAGGTTTGTTGTTTTTTTCACTCTCCAACCAACTCGAATGGAATACTAACATTATGAACCTTGAGGCTGACACAGTGCCTCCTACAATTTAAGATATAGCACTGTGATCAGTAAATTTCTACAACTTTGGTAATGGCTTAATACAATTTATTCATTGTCATTACATGCTGGTTGTAAAATGTCGCTCGACAGAACAATGTCGAACACTGTTTCTTACAATGAACTAATGATGTTAGGGGAGTGAAACATTCCGATGTGTCAGGTTGTAAGAGAAATGCGAGTAAATATAAATCATCTGAACAACGTTCACCTTGAATATCTGCAAACCACAGCGAAGTATTCTCCGCTAAATGAAAGATGGAAGAAAATATACATTTTATTTTACTCTGCTACTCAATTGACAAATGTATTAATAGAAGTGTAATTGGAATGTTCGAACTATGAGAAATGCCTGAACGACTAATGAGCCGATCGATTTTATGAGAGAAAGAGAAACATTGTCTTGCTAATAATTATGAGATTGACAGACCACTCCGCAAAATGAACTGATAGTTGTAAATTTCTCGAGAATTTCATCAGTGTGTGACTTGATGGTATAGCGTGTATTGATTATTTCTATAGTCAATATGACCTTATTCAACATTCATTGTACCTGTCTACTGAACTCGCTTCATCGGTAATGAGATGTCATTGTAAATACTGGTATACTGGTATCGATTTGTGAATAACATTTTTGTATTGACCACGATTGTAGTTCCAGTGAATATTCGTGACGTGATATGATGAGATCTGTGCACTAACTGATCACGTTCCCATTATGCATTGAAATGAAATGTCTCAGATCATGGAGTTCAAATGGATTCTCTTCTGAACTCAGAAGTTCTTGATTCGATGTATGGATAAAAAGCTATTGCGGACCTTGTCTAGATTGACCACAATATTATGATTCTCTATTTCATTCAGCAGGATAACATTACAATGTGTTTGCTTTATATGTGATCAGAATCCACCGTCACAAACATGGCATAGATTTTGCTGAATGGTTAGCATTCAGAAATCTTCATTTCGTTCGACTAAAGATCTTTCGAGTTAACTGATATTTATTCAGAAATCTGGCTGTCTACTCAGAATGCTGAATATGCGTTGATCGGAAACAGTCAGCAACAGAGTCAGTAGGAGAGGAAAATCCACTTTTGTTTTTAGAAGTATATTAAGAAGAGACCTATGACGTGAATAGGACAAACACTACGGAAATCATCATATTGCATTACGGGGAATGTGTTTATTGGAATCCTGAAGGTAGAAGGAAAATGGAAAATCCCATGAACATATTGCGTCGATAATTGAAAGCGTACGTGAAAAGATTGGATAGCAAAACGGAAGAAATGGAAAGGATTGTCCAAAACAGAGTTTGATGGAGGATGCTGGTAGAGGCCTTTGCTCGTCCTCGAGGTGTGGCAGGCGTTAGTAAGTATGTGATTGAGTTATCAACGAGTCCAGCTTCGGAGTAGCTTGTCATCTGTTGCCTCTGAACTCATTTGATTAACTCGATTGATCATGGGACGCCAGTTGAATAATATTGCCGTTAGCTTGCTTCAGATGAGTAGAATTTCCGCCTTCACATCTATAGAAGTGATGTGACGAAAGTGGTACTGATTATCTGATGTGTTTATGTCAGTCAGTTGAATGGATGAGAATATCGCTAGTTTGACTGAGTTCAAAAATTTATTTCGAAACTCAGGATTCAGTGAGAAGCGATGCACAATACATCAATGTCATCCCTGTAGATTGTCTGTTGACGATTGTCAACATGTATCGATATCAAGAGACAGATACTATGATATATTACAGTGCTCATATATCGACGGCGAGATTACAAAACAGATCAGAACATTAATCACAGTTCGACATTCAACTCGGTCGACAATCAATCAACATATAGAAATGGATTGAATTTGCTGATCAAACACAAGAGTCAGAAGCAGTTTCCATCTATACTTCGTATTGATGCATAATGAACCATCCACCACACACTACTCCGTGTCATTAACGTCACCCACTCGTCTTATATTCTTCTCTATTCTTCTTCGAAATGAATTTTAAGCTACATAAATACCAACCATCACGCCAAAAAAATAAACCTCTCAGATTATAAACTCAACTACTGAATATCTGTAAGTAATATAATATCTTCAATAAGATATAAGATGAAACGAGATGAAGTCAACTATTGTTAAGTACATTTAACTCTTGATTGTTCATCAGTATATCAACTGATCGTGTGTAATTCTTCATCTGTAGTTTTTGACCAGCAATGCGAAAGAGGGCTCGCAATTCAGATTATTATTATTATTATTATTATTATTATTATTATTATTATTATTATTATTATTATTATTATTATTATTATTATTATTATTATTATTATTATTATTATTATTATTATTATAGACAGTCCTGATACATATCCGACAGTCGAAAACGAGAGAGATAATCAGAAATTCTTCTCTAATCCATTCACAAATTGACACAAGCAACAGATTGACCAGTCGTAAACTTTATGACTCAACGCCAAAATACATCTGATGAAATTTCATCCAGAAACTGATCAAGAGAATCACTCAAATAATATGTGTCATATACATAACTCATACATGTTGTGTAGATGTCACCGGTAAGTATTCTCGTATGACGTACAACACTTGTTCATAACTAATGTGTTGTCATTGTATTCTTTGCTTCCTCACAGATGTCGAGGTCTTCATAATCCAGTCGACCACAAGAAGAAAAAGAAAGGAGAAGAGTAGGCAGCCTTGTCCGACTCCAGTTCTCACTTTGAATGCATCACACAACTGTCCTCGTTGCATCAATTTGCAGTGTAGTCTGTCGTATCGATTCCATATGATGTCGACAATCTTCTCACCAACTCATTCCGTAATTTCGAACAAGGGTCCATAATTTGAGCATGCTTGCAGTCGAT